CTAATGGTCCAAACTAGCACCGAAGGCCTCGATACTTGTGCCAACCATGCTACTAACCTAATTTGGTCATTCTGAAGCTGATTAAACCGTCAGAATTCCTTATTAGGAGTATTAGCAACATTCTACAAGAAACATTTTTTTTTTGGTTAACTACAAGAAACATTAATTACTTGACCTACGCATAAAGTAATTGGAAATTTTCATTTTCCCACTCTAGCGGCTTTTATATTATCATCCTTTTAAATTTTCCAATTGACTTGGTCCAACTTCTCTGTTTTCACGTATATGAAAAAACTATATAATGTCTTTTTGGGATTGTGAGTCATATATGAGATAAATATGTATATATATAATTAAGTAATAGTACTCATTACTCAAATGTTAAATATGCATTTGCAGGTACATCCAAGGTTACTCTAGGGATGTTAGGAGAGATCGAGATCACTGGAGTATTATACCACGAAGCCACTCACGTATGGCAGTGGAATGGGAACGGTGGGGCTCCTGGAGGATTAATTGAAGGAATTGCTGATTATGTGAGGCTCAAAGCTGGTCTTGGGTCAAGCCACTGGGTGAAACCTGGCCAGGGCAATCGTTGGGACCAAGTCTACGATGTAACCGCTCAATTTCTTGATTATTGCAACAGTTTGAGAAATGGGTTCGTGGCAGAACTTAACAAGAAAATGAGAAATGGCTATAGTGATCACTTCTTTGTTGACATACTAGGGAAGACGGTTGATCAACTTTGGAGTGATTATAAAGCTAAATTTCGCGCTTAACTTAAGAAATCCAAATTAAATAAAAAAATGAGAAACATCATCTATTGCCTTTGTACCAATATTACAAGTATTTGTGTCATGGTCTTGTTCTCTTGTTGAAGATATTGTAGTAACAACAATAATATTATTACTAATAAAAATAAGCACAAGTTAGTTTTACGATTTGTTAGTTAATTTAAATTCCAGTGCAAGCATCCGAGTATATTTTTGCTGAAATTATTTATGACTTTTAGTTAATTTAAATTGGTTTATGTTAAAAATATTTAAATTTGTGAATTGGCTAAGTAGAATCGTTGGTTTAGGTTTAACAAAACGTTAAATAATCAAGTGAAATTTGATATTAAAAATATAATTTTAAAAAAAAAACAGATGGTCGATTTTAATTATGTATTCAAACTATGTTTTAAAAAAAAAGGAAAGAGTAAGGATGGTATTCATCCATTACTAGGCAGCAATAGTTGGTGCTTCTATTGTATTTTGTGGAACTAATTAGGTATGTACAAATGATTAGAGGTGGATTCAGAATTTGAAGGCTGCACACAGATGTATTAATATTATTTTAATTTAGGCGTTGGCAAAACTTTCAATAACGATTAAGGAAAATGTCGAATTCGATTGACTACTGATGACTTAAATAATACTGAAAATATTAAATACAAATATATAGATCATATATAAGTTCTAAGATAATATGAATTTAAGTCTTTAAGATAATATGTAGACTTTAACTTTCTTAAAAAAATTGAAAAACAATTGAGTGAGATAGCTCAATGGTAAAGTGGGTTTATTATACTGGATTGTTGAGTATGAATCTCCTCTCTAGCAATTTTGATGTTACAGTTAAATAAGCCCTTTAAATTCAAAAATTATAATAACAGTGAAATGGAGTTTTAGCGGGGATCAACCCCTGGTCACGTAGTGGTCATGCGGGTGGGTGCATTGACTTAAACCAACATCCCACGGTGCACTTCTAAGCTCTCTATGGGTGCACAATTAGTTATATTCTAGTTTCTCAAAAGATACATACATATATACTCATGTTTTTTTTGAAGTAAACATGTGCACGTGCACCCCACCTATACATGTGGGTTCGCCTATGTTGATGACCTGTAATGACACAAAAGGTCATTTTTGGAATTCTTCATAAAATTATTGTTTTACCCCTCCCAATATTGACCCCGAGTTATTTATGATTGAATTTTGAAATTGCTTTCGAGTTTTGAGTTAAAAGTTGTGAATTATGGTATTTTTGGAAGTTGAAAGGCTAAAGTTGTTAAAAAGTGATTTTTGGTTTCTTTTGGAGTTTCGAGTCTCGGAAGTAGAATTCCGTCGATTCCATCAATTTCAAAACGTGGAAATTGGTCTAACTAAGTTGTCGGTTTCAAAGATTTGAGGTCTTAAGTTGAAAGTTTGTAAATTTTAGCCTTTGGGTTGTTGGTCAATATTCAGGGTTCGAATGCTCGGATTGGACTTTCAAAAATCTCATTGGTATGAGTGTTGGTATGAGTATTGTTATTTCCGGAATCTTATTGTGATTACTTGATTGGATTAGATTGTGTGGCTTTGAACATTGTTCGGAAAGGAAATGCTCAAGTCTTGGATCGACTTGAGCAAGTGAACTTTTTTAAACCTTGTAAAACTTGTAGAATCTTGTATTTTATCCTTTATTATGTGTTGGGGAATAATGAGAATGAGGTACAGCGTTCAATTATTCTACTTGATTAATCTTAATGAACGAAAAATTGATTAATGAAAAAGGCAGCGTGTTGATAGTTGTACTTTGTGAATTGCCTTGTTGTAGAACCTAATTTGTTGATTGAAGAAATGCTTTGATGAAATTATTGTTGACTCAAATTTCTTGAGTTGTTGTCTCTTTCTAATGGTGTGAAATTGCTTATTCGCATTGATTTATGTGCATCGTAATGAAATATGTGATGATTATGCTGAAAGAAAATGGTTCCAGCAAGTAGAGCTGTCAAAATGGGTTTGACCCGTTAAGTCGGCCCAACCCAACCCTTGAATTAAGTAGGGTTGGACCTAAATTTTTTTGGCCCATTTAGGAACGAGGCCTTTTGGCCCAACCTCATTTGGCCCGCTAGCCTCGTTGGCCCAACATGTGAGGCTTAGAGACCAGCCTATGGGCTATGAATGATAAAAATATTTATTATAAATTTTTTAGTAGTGTTTTATTTTTAAAGATTTTGTCAATAAATATCTAAAAAATATAAAATGAAGTCTAACTCCTTTGTAGATCTTTTACATTTTAGGGCTATTAGCCCACTAAAATCAAGCCTATTTTTGTATTTATGCCTAAATTTTCATTTCCCCTTTGTTGTCTTGTTTAGAAAAAATTGAGCATCCAATATTTTTTGCTCGGATGAATCTTACGATGTTGTATCTTGGCTATTATGTTGGTTTGTAAGTATTCATTAAAGTATGTAATTTATATCTGAATTTTTGTATGTATTGATGTCGTGTTCATCAAACATCAACGTTCGATACTTTTAGATACTCTTAGATACTCTTTCTAAGAAACCAATGTTATTCAATTTTTGGGTGAAGGGTCGACCCGTCCCAACCCGTGGCCCTCTTAGGGCTGGGTTGAGCTTCTATTTTATAAGCCCTTTAATTAAAAGAGTCAGCTTGTCCTAATCCATTTAACTCTCTAGCCCGTTAAGGTTGGGTTGAGTTGGGTTAGGCCAATTCATTTTGACAGCTCTACCAGCAAGTGATATGATACAACAAAAAATCAAAATATAATTTGTAAATTTATAAGTCATTAATTCATTCATAAGTGGACGTTTGGCCATGTTTATTATGAATCTGAAGATTTTTTCAAAAAATGAAAAATAATACCAGTACTAATTGATTGTGTTTGTCCATGAAATACAAATAAAAATATTTTTAAATTTTGTTTCATGACCAAACAAAGAGAAAAAACTTTGGACAAATTACTTAACTACACTCTTTTACTTACCTTAATATCTATTTATCTCTACTTATTTCAAAATTTTCAAAAATCCCTTATTTACCTATGTATCCCGCATGTATCCCGTGCACAACGCTATGTATCCCGCTATGTGGAATGTATCAAACGCTATGTATCCCGTGCACAACGCTATGTATTCCGTTATGTGGAATGTATCAAACCTAATGTATCCCGTGCACAACGCTATGTATCCCGCTATGTGGAATGTATTAAACCTAATGTATCCCGTGCACACGCTATGTATCCCGCAAAACAACATTTTAAGGGATTTTTGGTAAATAGAAAACTAGAAGGGATAAGATGTTATTTAGTACTTATAATATGTGGTTCCTATAATTTATACAAAAACTTTTCGGGGTAAAAACAGTGAAAAATGTGCAAGCCCACGTAATTTCGCTAGTGTGCAAAATTATTGGGGAAAACTGACCCTTTCACGTTCTCCATTTTCTTTGAGCAAATACCCTAGTAATACATTTAACCAATCGATACTTTTCCAAAATCCAACAATGGCGATGAGCAAAGCTAAATACCTACCCGAAGAACTCATCATTGACATTTTCTACAGACTCCCTGTAAAGTCCATTGGGCGGTGTAGGTGCCTATCAAAGCACTGGCGCAATTTTCTCTCAGACCCACAATTCATCAAACTTCACTTCAACCTCCACGCCCATACACAAGAAGAGAAACTCATTATCGTCACTTGGCTATGCGAACTTCATACTATCACGCTTAGCCACGACATCTTCGAAGATGCATTCATCGATAGCATTTCAACAAAGGTTGATTTTCAGCAGCTCACACATAACTGGATTTCTGTAGCTGGGTCTTGTAATGGTTTGGTCTTAGTGATTGATAGGGAAAATGTTCAATTTTTTATCAACCCAACTACCTTAGAATACCATAAATTTCCTGTTTTTGATTGGGCTCTTCCTCCGAAAACTAGCTGTTACATGTATGGTTTAGGGTATGATATTGTTAGTGATGATTATAAGGTGGTTTCTCTTTCTTATCGTGATACGAATAATGAATTTATGTCTAATACTTATGTGGATTTGTACTCTGTGAGAAAGGGTCATTGGGAGACACTTGGGATTTCTCCTTATGATCATTCACTCACTGACCGTGCTTCTGGGGTTTTGGTTAATGGGGCTTTGCATTGGTTGGCATGTAGAACTTTTGAATATTCAACCGCAATTGCTGCTTTTGATTTAAGTGCTGATAAATTCTTGGAGGTACCAGGACCTATTGATCTTCAGGATAATTGCTTTATGTGTAATCTTGCAACTCTTAAAGGGTGTCTTTGTATATCTACCAGTTTACCCCGAGACATAAACACAGTTACATTTTGGATCATGAAAGAGTATGGGGTTAAGGAGTCTTGGACCAAATTTAAGATTATAGAACCGAGTTTGGATGATTCTCTTAGTACGCTACTGTGTTCCATTACTGATGATGATGATGTTTTATTGGATGTCGACGAAGAATGGGTTATCTACAATCTGAAGGAGAATCGGCGTAAGGATCTGTTGATTGATGTAAATCCTATTACGCATGAAGCTCGAACTTTTGTTGATAGCCTTGTCTCTCCTTACTTTGGCAACGAAACTGAGGGTTCATGTATTGTGTGATGCACAAGATGATGTTGTATACAGGTATTACAGGAACATGTTCCTCTGTATTATCCACCTTTATCGTCCATCTCCTTTAGATTATTCAAAAGCCTCTGTATTTTCTTTTGTCTAGGATATCTATGCTTGAAATTTCAACAGTACTTTCAAGGATGCCCCTTTAGCCAATTAAGTGTAAACAACAGCATTTCATGGATTTACATCAGTTTATTGTAATGCCACATACTACCAGATTCATGCTTGCACAAGAATTAATCTGCTTCCTCTTAGTTCAAGCTGTTCCTTGTTCATCTTGCACTACATGAAGTCTCAAGAAACAAGGCATTATTTTGCATTACACTTCATGTCTTGGTTCACTATCATTCTGACGTCATAGAGAATTGAGAATTCATAGTTTTTGAATTCCTTGAATTGAATGGGATTGATAGAAATCAGTATCTTACAACGAAAACAATGTTTGGATCTGGGTACTTTGTTGAGTGGACAGAGTATTTGGATGTGAGAATTTTTAATCTTAGTGTTGCATACATGTAACATTTTGTCTTTTGTTCATCATATTGTACTTCATATCATGTTATAGATTAGGGCATATTTGTCTAAAGAAGAATTGAGTCAAGTCATTGCTTCTTGGTACTTCAATTAATTAAAGTACTCATACTTTATCAGAAAAGAAAAAAATAGTTGAGTCAAGTCATTCACCAATCTATCCAGGTATAAATCCTTTTACAATCTTGGCAGCTCATACTAGAATGGGTTCAAGACCCATTTTAGTGAAAAATTTGGCAAACTAGTTATGTTGAGACAAATGCTGAATTCAAGACATGTTGCAAAAAGATTTAAAAGAAAAAAGAAATCCCCACAATATTTGAGGACAGGTAATACAAAATATATTACAACTCATGAGCTGAAAGGAAGTACCTAACTTGAAAACCTTAGGGACTGTGTTATGAACCAAGCTAACTCTGTAAGGGTCTATGGGCTATTAGAGAATTTTATTTGGGATCCAGGCCCAATAACCATTTGTTAATTATATCAAAACTTTGGCTGTCAGTTATCTCTCATCCCCTTTCTAGTATCTCATCCCCTTCTAGTTACCTTCTATGTTAATCTCTCCCTAGTTAGTGTGTTATTATTTTGTTGTGCGTATTCTACATTGTAACTTGTCTGCAATGATAAATATATATAATAGTGCTTGTGTTGGAATCGAGTTTGCTGCATACTGACAGGAACTATAATTAAAAGCATAAAAAATAGAGGTGAAATGGGCACTTGCTTTGTACTATATTAAGTTATTTTCAATTGTCTTTGGAAGGAAGGCCCCTCATTGTCGCCCTAGCAACTGGCATTACTCTTATAATAGCAATCTGTAGTTGATCTGTGGTGCTTGTCTTGAAGCAATCTGAAGGTAAAACTGCTGGGTAGATTCTCTAAAATACAGGGGACAAATTATGTAGTGTACCTCCTTTAATGTATAATTATCAAGATCTATGACAACAAAGACTCTTTAGATCAATATTGGGTAGTAGTTATTACTTAGGAAGGTAACCATAAACAAGAAGTGGAAAACCTGTTCGTTAACAGTTTTAAACATGACATGTGAAAATTATAAACTAAGTGTTGTAAAAAGATATTCTTTTTTAAATGGACAAAAAAAAAGTAAGACAAAGTAATTCAAACGAATGAAGTACCAAAATAAAAGCTTATTCCATTCCACGATGAACATATTGAAAGATAAAATTAAGATAAAAAAACTTAATCATCGATATGACATACTAACTCTATAAATACCAAATTAAGTTATTGAACTTTAAATAAAACAAGAAAAATCTATTCACCAGATCCAGATGACCTTTCGTCGGAATCGGACGAAGTGCTTTCCCTAGCTCTTAAAGGAGCGAGCGCACTTCCAATGGTTTGATATGGAAATTCAATACCACACTCCATAAGTTGGCTTGCTAGTTTTTCAACTTTTTTATCCGCAGCCTCCAAGGACTCGCACAGGATCTTAAGGTCAAAAAAGCTAAGTTTTTCATTTGAAGGTTCTGTCCTCAATGCTTGAAGTGCTTGTCCATGTTTTCTTTCTCTTTTGAGTGCTCTCTCCAACTTGTTCAGCTTTTCATTGTTCTCATCAATATTGGCATTTTGATGAGCTACAATGATGGGGTTAGGATCATCAGTGTCGGGTGGAGGATTCTCTCCGACAAATTTATCCACAACTGACTCAACGGAAGGGTGTCCACATGCGTATACTTTGTTGCTGGGAGAAAAAACTACAATAGCAACATTAGCACCGCACAAAGTAGAGAGCTCGCTTGCCTTTTTAAATAGGCCAGCACGTCTTTTTGAGAATGTTACTTGTAAGTTGGTTTGATTTTGCATCCTCGCAATTTCAATTTTTTTGCGGCCATTAGGTCTTCTCATGGCTAAACTTTTGATTTGAGAATGTAAAAAAAATGTGATGTTGAGTCTTTGTTTTAAAGATGTATTTATAGAGATAGAATGATTATATTATTTGATGAAAATTGAACTCAATAACAAAAAAGTAAAAATATTTATGATGATCCCTTATTTGGTAGGATTTGACCCAAATTGTAATATTAATTAAATTCTTTTTTTGTTCATTGTATCTTTGTCAAAATCCGTAACTAAAGTAATTGCAGATGACATATTTTTTAGTATAATTTATTTTACTGAATCATTGGTAAAAATTTATTGTGATATATATTTTAGCAAAGTTAATATGTAAATTGATGATAGTTTCTGGGATAATTTTTTTTTTATTGTATTTGTATATTTTCTAAATTTTCTCTTATTCAACTATGTATATTTCCTAATGTAGACATGCTTAATAAACAACCTTCCACTATTAGCTGTAACAATACAAAAATATTTATTTTCTTACTCATATTAATGTATAAAAAAGTTTAAACATTCCCCTAAGGCCTAGCTCGAGTGGCAAAAGGCGGAGGATTTGTGGCATAGGTCGCAGGTTCAAGCCCCACACCATGCAAAGCAATGCCCGATTTTTAAGTGGAGAAGGGTAGAGGGGCGGGTCCATTATCCACCGAGTTTAGAAGGTTGTGATTGATCCTAAAGGCGGTGGGTCACAGACGGATTTCTTAGTTATATTAAAAAAAAAAGTTTAAACACTTAACATGTATAAACCATTTTAGAAGATTCTGTTTTAGGATTAATTACCCCAGCCTTTTTTGAGAACAAGAAATCAATTAAAGCATGAGATTAATTAGATAATCAAAGACTCGATTCATAATCAGATGGTATTCAACTAAATAAAGAAACACAACACATAAATCAAAAACCCAAATATTGTTTATATCTAACACAATATCCAAATCTGAAATTAGCAACTACACCTACAAATATTCAATACAAAACTCAAATACTCTCTCGTAGGGGCGGTCCTGTTATTGTTTCCTCAGCTTTGCTGTGGTGGTGTCCCTTCGCTGTTGCGAGATTGCAGTGGTGTTACTTCATCGCAGGCGAAACTCTAGTGGAACAGTGAACTCTTTGCTGTTGCGGTTCTTTCCCTGCAGGTGCGAGAGGCCTGACAGTTGCCTCAGCACAACAATTCCTCCTCTTGCTCCTTTTGAACTCCTTTCCTTACACAACATATTTTGCAGCTTCCCACCTAGAATAATCACAAATCACTATGTAAGTAGTCTCATTTAATGGTTAGAAGACATAAATAAGTGGCAAATTCACGACTTATCACATATATCGTTAATATCTCTTATGTTTGTGATCTTATGATTCTTTTTATTCAGTTTCCTTTGTATTGTAGCAATCTCTGTTCCTCCTTATGTATTTAAAGATGATCAATATAATACACAAATAATATTTTTTGCAAAATCCTTCTTCATAAGATATCAAATTCATTTCTTTTTCATTAATTAGGTGGGATATTAGCCAAATTGACCAGCTCACTCATTACAAAGCACTTTTAGATCTCTACAACTATTATGAAAGAGAGTTGTCAAAGGATGGCATATCTGATGTTGTTCACTATGCAAAAGAGAGAGTATGAATTGAGTGATTTCATACTCGTTCAATTGCATCAAATAAACTTAGATTTTTTTATTTTACCTAAGTTACAACCAAGAAGCGATAAAAATGATTTCATACTTATACCAGGACATTTTGATTCCCGATCCAGGTTGAGAAGTGTAGAGGTCAGGTCGCGACTGGAATTGAGTGTTATATGAGAGATTATGGCATTTGAACAGAAGAGGCAATGGAAAATATTTCAAGAAATGGATGAGATAGCTTGGAAGGATGTAAATGAAGGAATTTTATGATCAACTCCAATGTCTACAGATATTTTCACTTGTATTCTTAATCTTGATCACTTTATTGATGTCACTTACAAACACAACCAAGATGGATACACTCGTCCTGAAAAAGGACAATATATATTACAGCTCATGAGCTGAAAGGAAGAACCTGACTTGAAAACCTCAGGGACTGACGGGAACGGTAACTAAAAGCATCAAAAACAGAGGTGAAACTGGCACTTGCTTAGTACTATATTAGGTTCTTTTCACTCGTCTTTGGAAAGAACTGGCATTAGTCCTATAATAGCAATCTGTAGTTGATCTGTGGTGCTTGTCTTGAAGCAATCTGAAGGTAAAATTGCTAGCTAGGTTCTCTAAAATACACGGGGCAAATCATCAAGATCTATGACAACAAAGACTCTTTATATCGATATTGGGCAGTAGTCATTAAGCTACTGCTGCAGGTTTTTAATGGCCTTTTCTTGCTTTGTTTCATATCAGCAAACAAGCTGATGCTGGAGTCTCAAGCTCATGCTTCCAAGTCCATTCTCCCCAACACAACTGTTACAACCTGTTAAGTGAAATATTATAAGAATGCAACTAGAGTTGAAGTGACATTATAAGGATGCTTTTGGTAAAAGTAAATAAATACTCGAATGCCAATAAAGCCAAATAGATACTGTACTATTTGATGTTTGCACAAGAATAAATCTGCTTCCGTGGATATGTTCTAGTGCTTCTATTGAACGGAATGTTGTGTTTGTGCAGAGGCCTGAATATCTATGTATTTTATTCCCAAGGGTGTTACTCCTTCATTATGATGTTATAAAGTTGTTACAATTTCAAATCTGAAGAAAGATCATCATGATAGGAGAG